CCCATATATATATATGGGCTTGTCTCGAAAGATATTGGGACTTCCAGCACTTGAAATCTGAGGAGGAGATTTTGAGAAAGAGGGCCGGTCTATTTTGTTACTTATTTAGAGAATTTATATGGCCAGCTACTTACTTTGAGTGACTCTAGGAACCTCACGCAACATAAAAAAAACCCAGAGTCCGTTTAGTGACCATTCACAAAGTTCCAATGGAACTGGATAAATAGGACATTGGAATATTTTTTTTCACATGGCTGTTCAGCATCCCAGGATCAACCTTCAAAAATTGGCAGCTGACTCACACTTACGACGGTTGCAGCCTCCCAGGGATCCCCCCTGTGGCCTTACTCCCAAGTCGACCCCTGTTCTTTAGCTGTTCCCTTCGTCTGGCAACTCTGCGCATGTGCCCACTGGGAACAGGCTCCAGCTGTTCTTCTGCCTCACTGATGTCCAACTCTGAAGGCAGCTGATAACTGGCAGACGTCCCTGGCCCCCTCTCTGCCTCCGACACAGAGCCCTCCTCCGAGCCTTCCCCAGACTCCAGGACTGGCCCAGGTTCCTCCCCAACCCTCCTCACTGCCCGAATGTACCGCCAGTTCTGCTGGCAGCCCACAACAGTTCCCTCCTGTAATGTATGAACGAGACAATGTTCCCCCGTGTTTAGCGAGAGACTCAACCCTTTCTGGGAGATGGGAGAGAGAGAGAAAAAAAAGGCATAAGATATAAAGTTTGCTTGTGTGTTTTGTCTCTTTCTGGCGTACAAGCAAAAGCGGGGCCCTGGGTTCAAATACGCCTCCAACCTGCCGGGGTCTTTGCTGAAAGAGCAGAAGATCAACCGAGAGAGCAAGGAAGTGGTCCCCGAGGCCCCCAAGAGGAAAGTCGAGTGCGAGGAATCGCCCCGCAAGAAATCCGACGAGCGGCCCCCGAAGCCGCCCCCGGACCCTCTCGTGTGGAAGAAGTCCTCGGAGGCAGCCCACCTGCGCCGCAAGCGGAAATTCGAGAAACCCCAAGAGCCAGCCATGAGGAAGCGGGTAAGACTGGGGAATCCCCGTTTCCCTCTTGGGTGTTTGGGATGAAAAGGCAGGAGAAGGTGCCTCTTTAGAAGAAGCAGGGTACAAGGGGAGGGGGGATCAGCAGTTGGGACCCGCCTAGTAAAAATGGCCACTGTCTTGCCCTTCCCTATAAGCCACGATCAGACCCTTTCCTCCAACCTGCGAAGTCGTGTCTGACCCCATCGCGACCCCATGGACCACGTTCCTCCAGGCCTTCCTGTCCTCCGCCATTCTCTGGAGTCCATTGAAGCTCACGCCGGCTGCTTCGGTGACTCCATCCAGCCCCCTCCTTCTCTGCCGTCCCCTTCTTCTTCTTTTGCCCTCCCATCGTTCCCAGCACGAGACTCTTCTCCAGGGAGTCCTTCCTTTTAATTTCTTGGCTACACATTTGCAGAGATGGATGAATCTAAAAAAATTCCTAGCCACCTGTCAGTCCTGCCTCAACTTGAACCTCTAAGCAAGAAAGATCCTGGATTCCATTTGTTTACTAAAGGAATACAATAAAGCAAAGCCAGATCTGAAATTCGCGCGCCAAAACTCGCTCTTAGGCGCTTCCTATTGCTGGTTTCCCCCGCACTGTCCTATCAATTTTCAGAGAAGATGCTTTTTGAAACGGTCACTTTGAGGTTAAGCTGCCCTGGGGCTGCCTTCTTACTGGGAAGTGACCTTGAAGCACATAACTTTCACTTTCCCCCAAGTGCCCCCTCTCCCTTTCACCCACCACCAATTCTAGCACATCTGAAAGGGACCAGGTGGGAGAGGTTTACATGTGTGTTTCTAAACTAGCCCAATGGGATTCAGTGGCTAAGATGCTGAGCTTGTCAATCAGAAAGGTCGGCAGTTCGAATCCCTAGCGCTCGCCTAACGGAGTGAGCTCCCGTGACTCGTCCCAGCTTCCGCCAACCAAGCAGTTCGAAAGCAGATGAAAAATGCGAGTAGAAAAATAGGAACCACCTTTGGTGGGAAGGGAACGGTGTTCCGTGCGCCTTTCGGCGTTGAGTCATGCCGGCCACGTGACCACGGAGACGTCTTCGGACAGCGCTGGCTCTTCGGCTTTGAAACGGAGATGAGCAACGCCCCCTAGAGTCGGGAACGGCTAGCACAGATGTGCGAGGGGAACCTTTACCTTTAAACTAGCCAGCCATTTAGGGTAGTGTTTCGTAACCTCTGTAACTTTAAGCTTGGCCAGGTTTTAATTCCCAGAATTCCCCCAGGCGGCACGTGGGAAGAGTGACGTCTAGTAAATAAAATACACATTTTCCTTCCTTCCTCCCGTAGCTAAAACTGGGGAAAGAAGAGAAGCTGTTCAGAAAAAAGGTAATTTATTTACTAGACGTCACTCTTCCCACGTGCCGCCTGGGGGAATTCTGGGAGTCGAAGGCCACGCGCCTTAAAAGTTGCTAAGATTGGACATCCCTGCCCTACAGGCTCCTATTTCTTCATTCTAAAAGGNTGATAGATAGATGATAGATAGATGATAGATAGATTGCAATAGCAATAGCAGTTAGACTTATATACCGCTTCATAGGGCTTTCAGCCCTCTCTAAGCGGTTTACAGAGTCAGCCTCTTGCCCCCAACAATCTGGGTCCTCATTTTACCCACCTCGGAAGGATGGAAGGCTGAGTCAACCCTGAGCCGGTGAGATTTGAACTGCCGAACTGCTGATCTAGCAGTAGCCTGCAGTGCTGCATTTAACCACTGCGCCACCTTGGCTCTAGCATTCCATACATGGCACTCACCAGTCTGTTTCTAGCCTGCTTAACTTTGCTATTTTAAATTTAATTTTTAAATGAAAAATAGAAGCAAAGCTTCTATTACCTCTTCGGATCAAATATGGGCTGAATGCAAATTGGCTGCAACTCACTGCATTGTTAGGAAGTATCATTGCCTTCCCCACTTCAAAAGACAAAGTTGGGGTGGTAGAGAACTTCCTGGGGTACCACTACTACTGGTGGGGCTCTCAACTGGCTTGCCTTCTTCTAAATAATAAATGGTGATGGGCCTTTTCAAACCCCAGCAGCCATTTTTTGAAAGGACTCACAACATGATCTCCAAAACACCTCCAACCATCTTGGCTTCCCATAGGGGAGACAATCTGTTGCCCCCTAAATAATTTCGACTACAGATTCTGTCACAATGTTTTTTTTGTTTTGCCAGCTGTGCTTATATCCTAAGACATACGGTAGGCTAAATCTTCTCTGTAAGCCTACTACACATGTCTCTTTTCCCTTTTCCCTTTCTCTTTCTGTTTTGACTGCCACGAGGAGGTAGGCTAGGAACTTTACCAGAATCTAGTTACTAGCCAGTAAAGTTTGTTTGTTACTTATGTTACAATAAAAATGTGTTTTCTTAGAATCTACCTCGGGTTTATTTTACTTAATCATAAGGTATACTCCAAGGAAAACCACGATTCGCCCCTCATCAAACACAGGGCTGATTTTCCAACCTTCACAGATCCCATCAATCCAAGATAGCATTGACAATACTCATAGAATATAGGTAGCAATAGCAATAGCAGTTAGACTTATATACCGCTTCATAGGGCTTTCAGCCCTCTCTAAGCGGTTTACAGCATATTGCCCCCAACAATCTGGGTCCTCATTTCACCCACCTCAGAAGGATGGAAG